GTGGCTACAAGGATGTTTTTATTATGTCATTTGATCATTCTGTAACACTGTTCAACAAACAGATTTCAATGTATCTATAAACTTATTTTGGGCTTCTTTTCTGCAGGGCCAGCAAACGAGACTCGCTAACCCAGATGTCTGCCTTAAAAACTATTATCCTAGAGGTTCGTCTGTCTAATTTACATCTATGGAGATAATACAGTGAGTTCAATATGAGGTTTATATACACAAGTGAGATATATAAGATCCAGGATAAAAAATTAAAACATTAAAACAATTGTTAAAGAATTTTCAAAATAACAGTGAAGATACAGTATAGCAGAGCCCATTAAAGAATTTTTGTACAATGACCACCTAACAAGCAAATGCACATCTAAACAAAATGCTCTTTGCCTGTTTATAAGGAATGCATATTCTCAATATAAATATTTGAAGTCCTATGAAGGCTTCAGAAGAACCTTTTTTAATCAGGTTAGAAAAGATGGTGGCGATAGTAGTAAAGCAAAGTGTATTTCTTTTTCTGGGAGAAGGAAAGGTGACAAATTTTCAGGGCTGGAAGCTTACTGGCATGAACAGAAGTAGCAGGTGTTCTGACACCATTTCTTTCGGCAAAACCAAGTTTTCTTAACATTTCAACTGACACTGTACTGCTTGAATTGATGACAAGACAAGTTACTAGCAATGTCCATGATGGAATGATGTACTGGCATAGAGGGGAAATGTGATAGCCAGCTTGATTTCAGATTGCAAAAAGCATTTGTTTGCTTTTTTGAAGTGGTGGATGGGTATGTTTTTAAAACTATGGGTCCTGGAAGATGCTCTATTGTAGGTTTTACAATAATTGGCAAACTTGGCAACTTTCTCCTATGTCCCTAAGAACACTAATAAACTGTTCACTAACTTATAACAGCCTGAACATTTGAAATATAGTGCTACTGCTTTGGTTTTAAAGCACTAAAGTCATGTTTGCTGGAGTTAAGGGCACAGGCCCTTCATGAAAGTGGAAAAAAGATGCAAATAAAGAAATTGCTTTTTCTTTATCAGAGAGAAACTCTCTGGACAGGCCCGTAGCCAGGATTTCGTTTCGGGGGGGGGGGGCTAAAAAATTTTCAGGGGGGGTTTCGGGGGGGGTGAGTTTCGGGGGGCTGAGTCTGAGTGAAAGAGGGTCTAGCCTAGCAAACCTTTTGTATCATTACCCCAATACCCCCATGCATATGGGATATATTGAGTATGGTGATCAGATCATGATATGAATAAACATAACAGTTTAAATAATGCACCAGTAAAGGCCTTTTCGCGAACCACCATGAGAATTTCGGGGGGGGGCTGAAGCCCCCCGAGCCCTCCCCCCTGGCTACATGCCTGTCTCTGGAGGAATTTCTAGGTCTTCCAGAGAAACTCTATGGTTAATGTCTTATGGAAGCTGCCATAGAATCACATTGGAAGACCCAAGAAACCGCTAGGTCCTTCAGCATGACTGATGGGAATTCACCATAGAACTCCACTGGAGAACCTAAAGATTCATAGAGAGAACATTTATAGTCAAATCCATGAATGATCAGATCCAAAAGTCAAAAACCACAAATGTGGAGGGACATTTTGTATTGCAGCAGACAGCTAACAGGCAGCAATTCTGAAATGCTATGACAACAATCTTGGACCAGAAATATGGGAGAGAACAGAAGACATTAAGCCTTCAAAGATATGTACTGGAAACTCCACTAACTGTTCATTTTCTTAAATAAATGGTCAAGTCTTATTTACTATGCCCCATTGAAATAAATGAGATTTGGAAGTCATGAGTCCCATTTTTAGTTTTAGCTTAAGTTCAATAGATTTGAATGGGTCTAGTCTACCTAGAAGTAGCTTTTTATTGCTGTTAGTTTCTGTGTAGGAAAGAAAGAATGAAAGAAGAAATATGATTTCATCATATCTATATAGATTTGAATTTTACTAGTCACAAGTTGAGCAGGAACAGCACAAAGAGGACTGTGTTTTAGCACATTGCCTGATTTGAAAGTAAAATGATTCCCATGACTAGTTTACATGATGCAAGATTATAGGCTTTCCCATGTTTTCTCAATGTGTATATATGTCACTCTGTGTGCATGCTGATTAACACCATATAATATCTCATCCAATTTATTTAAGTGGTTGATCCGCATGCAGTTTTTTCTGTAAAGTACTGTTGAATGTAAGTAAAGGAACTATGGCCTATTTAATCCAATTTCGGCTAAGAGAACCTTTTAAAAATTAAATGCATTCTGACGAAAAAATTAGATTACAATAGCAACCAAATTTACACTGGTCAAGGAAGTGCTAATAAAAATGAGGTGAAGTTGTAGAATAAGAAGTTTGAAGCCTTCAAAATATAAAGTAATATGAGCATCAAAACATTTTGTTCTGAGGCAGCTCCCTGCTTTTGAAAGCTGGGAGGTAAGGGGAATTCAAGATGCTCTATAGTTTTAGCTGGGTACAACAAAGATTCTTGGTAAGATCCATACATTTACTACACTTAAAAGCTGTGGTTCTCAACCTGTGGGTCCCCAGGTGTTTTGGCCTACAACTACCAGAAATCATAGAATCATAGAATCAAAGAGTTGGAAGAAACCTCATGGGCCATCCAGTCCAACCCCCTGCCAAGAAGCAGGAATATTGCATTCAAATCACCCCTGACAGATGGCCATCCAGCCTCTGTTTAAAAGCTTCCAAAGAAGGAGCCTCCACCACACTCCGGGGCAGAGAGTTCCACTGCTGAACGGCTCTCACAGTCAGGAAGTTCTTCCTCATGTTCAGATGGAATCTCCTTTCTTGTAGTTTGAAGCCATTGTTCTGTGTCCTAGTCTCCAGGGAAGCAGTAAACAAGCTTGCTCCCTCCTCCCTGTGGCTTCCTCTCACATATTTATACATGGCTATCATATCTCCTCTCAGCCTTCTCTTCTTCAGGCTAAACATGCCCAGCTCCTTAAGCCACTCCTCATACGGCTTGTTCTCCAGACCCTTGATCATTTTAGTCGCCCTCCTCTGGACACATTCCAGCTTGTCAATATCTCTCTTCAATTGCGGTGCCCAGAACTGGACAAAATACTCCAGGTGTAGTCTAACCAAGGAAGAATAGAGGGGTAGCATTACTTCCCTAGATCTAGACACTATGCTTCTATTGATGTAGGCCAAAATCCCATTGGCTTTTTTTACTGCCACATCACATTGCTGGCTCATATTTAACTTGCTGTCCACAAGGACTCCAAGATCTTTTTCACACGTACTGCGCTTGAGCCAGGCATAGTCCCCATTCTATATTTTGCATTTCATTTTTCCTGCCTAAGTGGAGTATCTTGCATTTGTCACTGTTGAACTTCATTTTGTTAGTTTTGGCCCATCTCTCTAATCTGTCAAGATCGTTTTGAATCCTGCTCCTGTCCTCTGGAGTATTGGCTATCCCTCCCAATTTGGTGTCATCTGCAAACTTGATGACCATGCCTTCTAACCCTTCATCTAAGTCATTAATAAAGATGTTGAACAGGACCGGGCCCAGGACGGAACCCTGCGGCACTCCGCTCGTCACTTCTTTCCAGGATGAAGAGGAAGCATTGGTGAGCACCCTCTGGGTTCGTCTATTTAACCAATTACAGATCCACCTCACCGTAGTTTTGCCTAGCCCACACTGGACTAGTTTCCTTGCCAGAAGGTCATGAAGGACTTTGTCGAAGGCCTTACTGAAATCCACGTATGCTACATCCACGGCATTCCCCACATCTACCCAGCTTGTAACTCTATCGAAAAAAGAGATCAGCTTAGTCTGGCATGACTTGTTTTTGATAAATCCATGTTGACTATTAGCGATGACCGCATTTGTTTCTAAGTGTTTACAGACCACTTCCTTAACAATCTTTTCCAGAATCTTGCCTGGTATCGACGTGAGGATGATCAGACGGTAATTGTTTGGGTCATCCTTTTTTCCCTTCTTGAAGATTGGGACCACATTGGCCCTCCTCCAATCTGCTGGAACTTCTACCGGTGTCCAAGAACTCTAAAAGATGATTGCCAATGGTACCGAAATGACTTCTGCTAGTTCCTTCAATACTCTTGGGTGTAGTTGATCTGGCCCTGAGGACTTGAACTCATTTAGAGCGGCCAGGTATTCCTGGCTGACTTGTTTCCCAATTTGGGGTTGGATGTCCTCTAATCCCTCATCCACTCCATCTTGATGAGGTTGAAGATAACTTTCTTTTTGTGAGAAGACCAAGGCAAAGAAGGCATTAACTAGTTCTGCCTTTTCCCTATCCCCTGTCAGCATTGCCCCATCTTCTCCCAGGCTGTTTACCAGCTATTAGGATTCCTGGGCACACAGATTGAGAACCACTGTTTTAAACCATAGTTAGGCAAGAAATGATATAATTCTAAATGTGAAAATGTCATTCACATCAAGCAACATGAAAGTGAAATCAATAAGCATTTTGAGGGTTCTGAAATTTCGTCAAAAATGTTTTTGCAAATTAGGGTGGACCAAGCGAAATATACAATACACACATAATGCAAGCACAAAATGACCAAATGATTAAAAAGACACAAACAACTCATCCAAGAAAGCAGCAGCTATCATAATGTAACTAACCATATACTTTGCACAATCTTCAACAATGTGAGAACATTCTCAACATAGATAAACATGTGAATTCACAGTAAAGCGGAGAGGAGGATGAAAACAAGACAAACAAGGCCTTAGATCCCCAGAATCAGCATAAGCACATAAGTCAATGCACAGAATCACAACCAGTCTGGAATACTGCCAGGTAAACACATGTCCCGAGCATCAAGCTCTGGAGATTGTCAAACTATCCCTATAATAGATATCAAACATGTAATTACGAAAAGGAGTTGAAATAACTCACAACTGCACATAAACACAAAGAAGCCAAGTCAGCTTAAAAAAATGAATTTGGTGTTCACTTGTTAGAAATAAACAGCAAATTTACAATGATATTATATGTCAAATGTACCTTCTCTCAAGGCGTTCATGCTACATCTCTCAGTTCTGAATTAAGCACTGTAGCAATAGATTTCTCAATCTGGTCTTCAATCTGGCCTTCTTTGGTTACAGCCAGTTGTAACCCGGCATGAGCAACTCATTAGCCTGAATGGCTCCTTTAAGTAAGAAAAACTAATGGTATTACAAGAGCTTCAAAACAAAGTTTGATTTATGATTAATTACCCATGGTCTGTTTACAAAATAAATCAACACATTGTGCACCATGAATATCTATGGCCTCATCTGAACTTTCTTTTCCTCCCTTGATAAATAAAGGACTTTTGTCTGTGCCATAGTTTGTGCTCCAGGTATAAATTGTGTCTTGAATACAAAACATACATAAAACATCCCTGCTTTTGTCACTTTCATGAGTCTGTTCTACACATAGTTCCTCCCCCCTACCTGCCAATAGATTGTATTCTTGTAATTTTTTATGCTAAGGAAAAAATGTATTATAGGAATGAGAAGGAAGAACTCCTTTGACTATGAGAAAAAAATACCAAAACTAATTGAAATGTTTTTATGTCTTTTCGGAAACGAGGAAAAATTGTATTCTCTTCTTTATAAAATAATCCTTCCTTTTGTGTCAGGAGTGACTTGAGAAACTGCAAGTCACTTCTGGCGTGACAGAATTGGCCGTATGCAAGGATGTTGCCCAGATGTTTTGATGTTTTACCATCCTTGTGGGAGGGTTCTCTCATATGGAGAGCTGGAGATGATAGAGGGAGCTCATATGTGCTCTCCCCAGATTTGAACCTGCAACCTGTTGGTCTTCAGTCCTGCTGGCACAAGGGTTTAATCCATTGCACCAGTCATAATCCTGATAAACTTTAACATACAAAGAACATCATTTATCAACTGAAAACAATTATGTAAATAAAAAGAGATGTTTATATTTAATTTTGTCTACAATTAATGTTCCTAATATCAGTCATACTGCACATGACAAAAGTGTGTTCACTAACCTTTCTCAGGGAAGAAACAATTCCTTCCATATGAAGACACTCCTAAACTCATAGACTTTTAAGTGAGCTAGTAAAATAGCTGGAGAATGGGAGAAATGCTCTACTTATCTATAATCACTATGAAAGCCTAAACTATAAAAGTGTGATCCCTTTCTTTAGTGACCCCTTAAAACAGGGCTGGCTCTTCAAGTGAAAATGAGTTTATTTTGCATTTCTGTTAATGTGGTAGGGAAGTCTGTAGTTCATAGTAGCATGATACAAATACATTCATGACAGAAAAGTAGCATGAGCCTCATCTCATTGTTAAAAGAGTATAGCGAAGAAAGTAAAACAGCAGCCTGCAAGGAAAGTGGATTAAACTCCCATTTAATACTTGCAAAGCTAGAAATATGGTCCCTTCCCAAAGTGGAAATGATCAAAATTTCTTCAGTACTGTTTACCCTTTCCATCGCTGAGAATAAATAAACAAGACTTGCTCCCAGTTAAACTCAATATTTTGAACATTATACAGATAGCAGTATACATGTCTTTGTCAGAAATTAAATTAATAAAGCTCACTAGAAGTAATTTATCTACAATTTGTAAGTGTTAATATTTAACATTTTGATTTTTTAAAGGATCAAATCCACATGGAAATGACTAAGTGGGGGGACTCAGAGGAGGCAGTGTTTTCATTTTATACGTAAAGAGAAGAGGGGCAGATGTACTCTGTTAGAAGTCACAGATGTTACTGGGAATATAATGACAGGAAAAGAGCTCAACGAGAATCCAAAAAAGATCTTAAATAGATCCATTATTTTCTGGTCTGAGGCTTTTTTATTTTAGTTTAAAGGACAACAAATTAAAGACAGCATTATGGGCACTCGTCTTTTTCAAACTTGTCCTATCTGAATGCACTTGTTTAGGAGGGAGGTATGACTGAACAAGTTATAAAATCTAGGCAGCAGCTAATGCGACAGTTGATTTGTTATTGCTACTGCTGTTGTTTACATAAATCTCATAATAAAACAGGAGATCTTTCATTTCTGGAAAAGAACACATGGTAATCCTGTGTTCCATAACTCTGGTCTATCTTATACATCAGAAAAATTAAGTGGGTATTTTTCTCCTTAGAAACATAAACATGGAGTTTAGAAACAGCAGTAATTGCAATTGACTGGCCTACTTTGAAAGCCCTTGTTTCTTACTATTTGTCATATTCTTATTTACATGTATAAATACCATGATGGAAGAATATACACATACCAAATCAATCAGTAAACAGATCATATTTTATTTCTGTTATTAAAATCAATTGGTTTTGCTAGCTCACTGATATAAAATATTGTCAGGAAGAAAAGATACCTTAATGATGATGTCAGTCAAAGGAACAATGACAAATGTTAATGTTATATTTATTTTCTAGTGATATTCAAAGATCCTTCTACTAAGTGTCATAGAAATAGACACTAAAAATAGAAAGCTTTCAACAATATGTCATAGAAATATTTTCTGCATGCATCAGTCACAAAGCTAAACTCATAGATCTGAACATGTAGCATATATATGTGTATCATGAATTATGCAAATCAATATTTTCATTTCATTTTATTTTCAAAAGATGGGTTGAAGAGTTTCTTGTCCCTTACCTTTTTGGATCAATAGTGCTATCAGAATATTGCTCACTGCACTGGAACTATGTAAATGTAGCTGTGCTTTTCCTGAAATTTATTATCAGCCTTGGGATTTTTTTTATGATGTTATGTTGTGTTACTGTGATGTGTTAATTTTATTTTGATATTCTGGTTTTATTTTTGATTTTATTTTATTGTGTGGTATTTTAATCTGTGTTTTTTTCTGGCTTGTCCCTTTGTAAGCTGCCCCAAATCCCTTTGGGGAGATGGAGGCAGGGTATAAAAATAAAGTTATTATTATTATATGTTATCATAATAATGGCTTGACAAATAATGTGCAACTGTACAAAATTTATAATCTCTCCTTGTTTGAGATTTTTCTTCACATGTGTGAAAAATGGGTGAAAACTGCTGACTTGTTTCAGCAACTTGGAAATTTTTACCTTACCAAAAGCTAGTTTAGTTTTCCATACCAATGAAGAAGCAAACGGTAAAACTAAAAGTTTCATAATGTTAACACAAAAGTGAAAGGACATCAGAAACCTAGGATCCTTACTATGTTACAATTTTCTACCACAACTTATTTCAGTTTTCCTGTTTTAATTATCATTTCCCCTTGAACTGGAGTTTTCCAAAACACAGTTCTAAAAACTCTGAAAAGTAGGAGATAGTTATGTGCAAAGGGCAAAACCACTATGTGAGAAGAAACACATACACACATAACTATCTGGAACGAAATTTGGCCATAACTTCATTGATTGCAGCTCTAATATGTTTGGCAACCAGCCATGGGATCTCGACCAAGGCATCAGTCAACCGATCTATCAATCAATGAGCCTAATATTCTGGCTTGACACCCGAGACCCATGGAATGACCATGGGAAATGTCACTTGGGAATCTTCCCACTGGCTTTCTCTCACTGGGAGTTGCTGGCTAACTCACTTTTCCATCATTGACCCATTGGTGTCTCAACTTTGGTCACAGCCCTGAATCCATTGTTGGGGAGCTCCCCTCCCCACCTTTTAACCAATGCTGCAAGAGTATCGATACTCCCAATTTCCAATCAAGGACTGTGGCATTTTGTTCCTCTTCCACTGAAACCAGAGGGAAGAGCAGGAGATGTAAATGGCCACAGAGGAAGCAGACCAGTTGTTTGCACTGGTTCAAAACTTAAGGAAACTCTGAACTACTCATGACTTTTTTAATGTGGAAGGAGCCACTTTAATGGGCCTTCCCTCACATTAGGAGAAATGAAACCCATGAATTGTTTGGCCACCATAGAATCCATTCACTTCTAAACCAACTAATTTGGCTTATGCAAATGGGCCCATAATTTTAAGCCGCAGCACATACCCACTGACCTTCTAAAATTAAGGTAGGTTCAAGTAGGATTAAACCAGAACCAGGGATTGTAATTTGGAGCATTTTCAGTGGGTGGGATTAGACAGCTCCTAGGGCCCTTTAACCTATGAGTCAGATGAGTCCATGAACCTATGAGTCAAAACTGAGTCATCAATGTCTCAAAGACATAAAGTATTGAAACTGGCTCTAGATCATATCCAGAGTTCAAATGTACGTTACAGAAAAAGAATATACTTGGAAGGTCCATCTCACTTACGGAAGACTCTGAGGCACAAAGCTGTAATAAACTAAATTATATCCAGAGCAATGATTGGAGAAGAGGAGTGATTCCTCCCCCCTCCCCATCCCGTGTGTTGCTTTGTTGCTCTGGACATTGTCATTCTAGATGCTGAATGTTGCCCAGTACCATTTTCATGTCTGGTGGACAACATAAAAATCAGATCAACAGGGGCAGGTTAAGGGTCATATTTTGCCAGCTCAAAACTGGTTCTGCATCCAGTTGCCGGGCTGCTTTGGAGCCATGCGATGCATCTGAAATCCAACTCCCAAGCTGGCTCTGGAGCATGCAGTGTAGCCTCCAGTGATCTGGAACACCCCACTCTGAGCATCACCTTTTCTGGCCAGTGAATCTGTATCCATAGAAAGAAATTCTATCTGTCCAATATGTTCTTAGTGCTAAATTGGTTGCTCAGTGTCCCTGCCCATAGATACTTCAGTTGGAAACTATGTCTAGATGCTTACATAAACATTTTAAAACCAGCAAGGATGAAATATTTAAAGATAAATATTAATTATCGTTTGATGGAGGAGGAGGAGATAAATTTTATAAAATGCTCATTTACACCACTTATTTGCTACAGCTGTAGTACTGAATCAACTCATTCAGGGTGGGCAGAAATATTAAACTTGGCAGGAGCCTTGTTTCATTCACTGTGTATTGTTTCCCCTGCTGACAAATCTTGTGAGGCCCCAGAGCAGAAAGCTTTCCAGTGACCGTGAAAATTCTAAGTGGTATTTTCAAACATACCCAGGTTTCTTTTGTATTTCTTCACCTCAACAGGCCATTTTATATTGACATCAAAGGGGAATTTCACGATACAAATTTAGTAAAGCAAAACAAACAGGTGAACAAATGTTTCCACAAAAACTCTTTCCACCCCTAAATATACTAACTTCGGGAGAGGGCCAAATAAAAAATCACAAAAGTAAGATTTTCATGGGCTAGACCAGTGTTTTTCCTAAACTCTGTTCCTCGGTTTTTTTTTAGACGTCAGCTCCCAGAAATCCCAGCCAGCTAACCAGCTACTAGGAATTGTGGAAGCTGAAGTCCAAAAAATCTGGAGATGAGTTTGAGAAACACTGGACTGGACCATGTTAAGCTTCAGGTGCAGGCCATGTTTGTGAATGCTCACCCAAAGTTTGTCTTAAATAGGTTTAATACAGCCCCCAAAAGGGAAATTGTGTGCTGCATTCAAAGTAAAAAAAATACTGTGCTTGTTGAGAGAAAATGCTGGCCTGTTAAATGTAGTTTTACATAAAGAGCCTACATTCTGGAACTTCCTACAACACAGCAAACAGATTATACACCAAGAAGGAGGCAAACGTGGGGGAAAAAGGAACTGTCTTCTGTCTTCTGTTCATTGAGTAGTGAAAGCCCTACATAACAGTAACCTTCTTTATTACAAATATATGCATCTAATGCAAAGTCTATGATCTAATGCAAATGGATGGGTGGATGGATGGGTGAGGGGATAGATAGATAGGCAGACAGACAGACAGACAGGTAGAGAGCATAATTTCATCCTGCATTTTTCCCTCTCTACCAGGCAATAAGATGAACTAGAGGTGCAGAAACTCAAAGTACAATATCACATTATATGAACATATTACAAGAGGTAGCAACTTTGGAGGGCAAGTCCATGCTCTGCAACATCTAGTTTGATTTTTAAATTTGTAGCTTACCTTTTATCTCTCAATGGCTTTCATTAGTCACACAAACGTCCAAAGTTCCAACATTATGGAATTGATCACAACACGGTGGAAGCTATAAAAGACAAAGATCTCATTACACAAGGCATCTTAATACAAAACAAAAATCCAAAATCTGGGTGTTTTTCAGTAATCATTGTCTTTTGTCTAAACTATTCAGTATTGCCTAGTCCCATAATGACACGTTTTATATATATTTATGGAAATAAATAAATAATTAGTTTATCAGAAGTCAAGTTTCAAGATTTTTGTGATATTTATAAATTAGAAATATTTAATGTGATGTGAAAAGTCACTGTGAATTGTAGCTCTCTAAAATTAATGAAGGCTTTGGCACATTGCAACTCAATTGTTTGCATTTAAGCAGAAATGAGACTGTGGAATATGCCGTGAGTTTATGAAGAGAAACGTTTACATCCCAGAACCACTTTAACAAATATGGTTCCATGTGACTTGGAGTTCCCATGTTAAAGCAGCACAGAAAAACTTTCAAACTGTTTATACTTTTTAGATCCTTTTGTTCTGTCTCTCAACACACACAAATTCAGACACTGACACGGGAGAGGAAAAGGTTCCTGTTGCACATTCACAGTCATTATTTTTGCTTCAACACTTCAATGACCACAATATAATTGGTCAAAATTATTGGTTTATAAATACGTAAGATTTCAATTGTTTATATTTGCTGTAAGTTCTTTTTTTTGTTACCATTATTGCATGAGAAAAAAGCAGAGCAAAGTAAAATGTAATGTGTAAAATAAAATAAAATAAAATTCAGTAACATTAATATATTTTACTGAAATTCAGTTGAGTAATTTGTTCATATTCTGTAATGTTTTATCCTAACAAACCTAAATAAATTCATATTTTGAGGCCTATCTTTCTTTCCGCTTATTTGAGTTGTCCGATGAAAAGAAGATGTGATAAGACTGAAATATAAGAGGCACAGCACTTGCAACGAACGCACAAGGCATAAATATTATTATATATTTAACAACAGTCTCTTTTAAACTAAGAAAGAATTTTCTGACATATTTTCTTCACAATTACTCTTTAAAATTCTGAGCATAAATTCTATTTGGGTCACCCATAGATGTAAAAAAAAAATCAGAAATCACCATAATAAAAGAAATGGGCTAGCTGAACACTGTCATGTTACAAAGCTGGAATCATTATTAATTATTGAATTTATTCAGTAATTTATTTTAAGATAGAATAAAACTTCTTGCTTTCCTTGTGGCTTCCAACTGCAGAAAACAGTATCTCGCAAAAATGTATTAAGCAAATAATGAAAGGCACTAAATCTTTCTGCATAATTGCTCTTCAAACTGCTGGAGAGGTTATTTTCTTACCTTACACTACATCTTCTGCAATCTGACAGTGTCATTCAGTCAGTCATTTTAATGTCAGCTACTCTTTTATTATACAGAATACAAGTAATAATGAAACAGTGCTGATCTGCCTGCTTTCACTCCATATAGTGTCTATATTTATACACTTATGCCTCTATTTGAAACTATATTTATCTTCTTTATCTGCCTACGGTGCATCTGTTTCTCATACACACAGACTATATATACACACACATGCGTACACTCACATACACAAAGTCTTTACAATGAAACATACATTCCACTCCACTTGTTAACTTGCATAAGCATAGATTATCAATCCATATATGCATCAGTAAAATAGTATAATAAAAATGTAAATATAGGCTGATATATTTCATATACTGTAAGGCTAGTGAAATGTATGTATGTACACACATACCTACACACATCTGCAGTATGTCCACTAGAAAAATGAAAAGTACTGTCAGGTCTGAACAACCCATTACTCACAATTCAAACTTTGGAACTACTTCTAACCTTCAATTACCAACTTTTACGTTGACATAATGATGCAAAACAACCAGCTCTTAGTATTATTATTTTACAACTGTGTTGTAGGGTTGCCCTTAATAAGCTTCACTGAGATACTACTAGGGATACTGGCACACTGCCCATAATAACTCCTTTCATTGTTTTACAGCTATGCTAAATCCTGAGGATCATCCCTCCCAATGAATTTGCAAGTGGTGTGCCATTTTGCAAAGTTTTAATAAGCCATTCTCCAGCATTACTTTAGACTAAGAAAACCTCAAATGCCCTTTTCATTTAGAGGCAAAATAAGTCTTTCAGCCAAAAAGTGAAATCTGCCCAATTAAACCAAATACCTTACAAGCCGGGTTTCTCAATATATCAATAATCTAATAATATAAATATATTAACTGTACTAAATAATATATATCAGTGATCATATATTGTTCAATTATCTTATTACTAAAACTACATAGATTATACTAAATATCCAAAACTAAGTTAAATATTATCTATTGCTATGCAAGTAGATTCACAGGTAGGTTATGCATTACTTTGCAAAACATTCAAAACCACCAACACATCAATGTAAGAAACTACTGCCAGTCCCGGTTTTGTTATATTGTTGGCCTTATAATATGATGTCAAGGCCATACTTCTGTATATAGCAATCCTTTCCATTAACCGAGTCTAGTTAATGCGTTTATCACAGTATCGCCCATGCCCAGAACCTAATTGGCTTTTTGGCAGCTGATAGGGAAATCTATCCAGGGAACCTAAGGATTTTTAAAAATCAAATCTTATTGGAACTGTGGATAGGGCATATAATTTTCACACTCCCTGCAGTCTTCAGAGCACTCATTTGATACAGTATTTTCATTAGATCCTGGAGAATCTGAGCTTTTATTGAAAACAGTACTGCAGATGTCTGGTCTTTACAAATTCATAGGTATAGATTGAAATTACAGAAAATGCTAAAGGACTGGCAATACCCTATGTGTTTCAAGTCTCATGCTTTCCAAGTTTATATATCAAGATTTGTCAAGGGAGGTGTAAATATATTTGTACAGCCTTTTTTCATTTATAGGATATTTACTTTCCATTAGTACACAGTAATTGTTAAAAATATCAGGTAATAACTTGCTCACTGCATATTTAATGTGTTTTGTTTAAAAATATATTTTTCCCATCTGACTAGTACAGCTATTTAAAAAACCACCATTTATTTTGTGTTTGGACAAAACTTGCTTACATACAAACACACACGCACACACACATATATACAGGGCAATGACCAGCACCAAAAAATGTACGAATGTCAGGATAGGAACACATACATTTAGGTATTAAGAAACACTGTCAAAAGCAAAATTAAGATCCAGTATAGTGTATTATAGTTAAAATGGTATTAAACATTTATATGATAAAATGACAATGGTAAAAACTGAAATAAATATTAAAACCTAAGACTGTGACAGCATTTGAAAAAAATATATACAATGGAGTATTAAACTTGCTAATACTCCATGGTATATTTTTCAGGCCTTCTATCTCAACTTTTGATAAATATACATGAAAATCTTATGCATGTTCCAGAATAAATGGTCATTTATCTTAGTGGGATTCAATCCTATGTTAGGTAGGTATACGTTGAAATTGAAGGAAGGTATACATCCGCTTATGAGACAAATATTCAGAGTATATTTCACTACCTTACATATAATCCACCTAACATCAGTTAAGGGTAAGGTTTATAGAAACCAATTCCACTAGTTCTGTTCATGAAGTCAAATAAGAAAATTCAAAACAAGTGCGTCCAACACAAAGCAGACAATAGATTTTTATGTACAACTGGCCTGGGAATAAAAATTAAAGTAAATTACATAGGATTTGAAACCAAATAATTTTAGTCAATTTTTAAAAAGGAAGATATTGCTTTGAAAACCCATTCTTAAACCTTTACGGAGATGAGATGTTTTAAATCACTATTATGGAACGACTATAGTGAAATAAAAAGAGTATCTGAACTAGTTATTACAGCTAGACAATAGTTAATAAGTAGACCATGACACGTATTGGTAGATAACGGCAGTATTGGGACAACATCATTTCAAAGTATTTTCTAAATGCAGGTATCCCAAGAAATCTTACATTTCTCTACTATTGTAAGTCTTCACCTAATAAATATTATTTACAATCTGATAAGCCTCGCCATCACACCTATTTTATTTTTATGCCATATTATGCAAGCTCTGGAAGCAATTATGAATTTTCAAGGAAATAATGTTGAATATTTCACAGAAACAAGAAATCAGAGGCAACTTACTTTAAGAGTCATAATGTATGAGTGCACAAATAACTGTTTATTTCCAGATCCAGAAAATGGTGCATCTCATTTTAATCATGTACATATTAGATGCATTCCCAGCTGCACAAGCTCTTGGGCAGTTACAGCACACTCTTACGGACATGTAGTGAGAATGAAAGCCCCAGTGATTTCAGGGGAGTTTATTTCCAAGTCACTCTGCATAGGAGTGCAGTTTTATGTCCAGCAATTTAGACATCCTTCTGACTGCAATATAATGTATTGCTGAGAAAACATGCCTACCACTGAACAGTATGTATTAGGAAATTGTATTTTGTATTTTTTAAAAAGAGTAATTTCTATCCTCCTAGTAAGAACGAACAAATGCTCAACCGACTGAAAATCATTGGTGAGGGTCCTACTCATTTTTCATAGTGCTGAGTGAAAATGACTGAATATAATAATAATAATAATAATAATAATAATAAGCAAATATTTAACTTCTAAGACAAGTAATAACTATCTCATACTTTTGCCCTCTAATTCACCCCCCTCCAATAATATATAAACACACACACACACACACACACACACAGGATGTCAGCATTTGGCTACCCATCTGGAGATTTTCCCTTTAAATTCTTAAAAAAAGAAGAAAGCTTCTCTCTATTTTATCCCTGAACATATACAAATGAGGTTTGAAAAAAAAAAGAAAAATGTCAAGAGGACACTCTCCTCCCGCACCCTCCAGCCTCTAAAACTATATATTATAAGAAGGCCATTACCTAGCTGATGAAAATCAAGGCAGCCCTCTAGGCAGATCATCCTGGAAAAGATGCTAAAATCTCTTCAACAACAACTGATCATTGACACTTCCCAAGAAACAAA